TCGTCCGTGCAACGTGCTAGAGTTGCTTAATGGGTTCTCTGCTCTCGATGGGCCCTATGAATAACATACAATTCGCTCACGAAAGAAGTCTCACGAAAGAGTCTGACCATCGCGTAGGCGATCGTCTAGGTGTCCGTTTGACATCCCGTAGAGTTCAGTTGCTAATCGCTCTCGTCCAGGGTCATATTAGAACACTTTCGATAGCGCACTGAATAACACTGACCGCATGTTCATCTTACTTTTGTACAGTTCGAATTTCCAAGGTGTAAGTTAAAGCAGGAAGGACCGCGGAATCAAAATGGTGAGCTCGGAGCCGGGTATTCTCCGTGCTCTTCGCTACTCTTTCGGTGTTCTCGTGAGCTCCCCAAGCCGCTTGCTTCCTTCCCTTTAGCTCTGGTCCAAACACGTATCGATTCCCGACCAGTAAACATGGTCTATCTTATCGATTCCCCGACCCAGTGAACATGGCTAGAGTATTACACTCTAGTTCGCTGCGGACGGTTGGGCGTGTCAGGCAGTATGAGTGTGTCACCCCGTCAAAGCCGTTCTCTGCCTTCTTGTTGAAGCGCGCATGCGACAAAAGTGGTAGAAAACGAGTAATACGAACGATATGATACAGTATTGTCACTTGCCCCCTTCAACAACTGGTGGAGAACGAGTTTGGCACCGCGCCAAACGCAGCCGCATGGGACACGCGGCTCAACCGTCGCAGCGAACTCACTAGTACGCTGTGTCGCGGTTCCGCTTGAGCGAGAATGGGGCACGGAAACCAGCTCGTTTCGATAGAAAATCGTCTTTCACGAAATATTCAGTTGTAGGCTGATTGTCAGCAGTAAGCAATCGAAATGCAGCCAGCACTTCGGCGTCTGTCTGTTCGATGTTTGCTTGTTAGTTAGAACGAGGGAGCTCAGCAAACAGGATGTGGATGTCGTGCTGCCACCGTTATTCACTCGCATATCTACCCATTCCCTGTTGACGCATGTCCTCAAAAGGCGCGAAAGTTTTAGGGGAGGTGGTGCCGCGCTTTGTCCGCCCTCTCTTTTACGTCGGTGATGATCTTCTAATAGAATGGTCGTCCTGGTCGTGAGGCTGTTTCACAGCTCGAGGAGATCCTGTCGTTTGGCTGTTTCACAGCTCGAGAAGAATCCTGACGTACTGGGAAGGAACTTGCCTAGGGTTCAATAACCGCTTCTGTATCAGTTGAAGGCTCACTTTAAAGGCAGTTGGCACGATAAATCGTTATAGCAGTACAGGTGTAGGATTTGTACAACTGGCTCAACAGAATTCCGTGACCTCGGACAGGCGCTGCGTGAAACCTTTTCCAAGGAGGGTACCTCTATAACGCCCTATTGAGCAACAACTTTACGTCCCAAACGCCTTCCTTGCCCGCCCGCCCACAAACGGACGACCGTTTCTGACGCTCGTATTCATTCATTTGCTGAGCAAATTATGAAGCAAAGGGATTGGTATGAAGCGGCGGTGATGCTGCATGCATATATGGGTACACATATGCAGCCGTACTTCGGTAGCGGTGATCGGCAAGAAAACGCAGGGCGTACGGGAAACTCGTCCGAAATCGATTTACAAGTCACTGAGAACGGAGGCTTTTTCTTCGCCGGATTTTGACCGTTTCACTCCGTTCTTTCGCCATTCCCCACTATACAGCGCCCTACTAGCATTTTAGGCTAAGTAGGAAACCATCGTGCCAACTGCCTTTAAGTCGATGTACGCTAGAAATCACAGCATAATGTACTCTCGCGATACTTCGATGAGCTTCATTGCAGTGTGAATGTGGTCGATCGTGCTTAATCCCCTTCTTGTTTTGCTTGCATGGCTTTCGTTCGGTCTAATTGCGCCGCATTTTGTACAACTATGACTCTATTGACAGACGCTTGTAAATCACAGACGACAGGCAGAGTTGGCGATAATTGTCAATGTCCGTAGCAGGCTCCTTTCGTACAGCAGCTGTTTTTCCACGAGGCGGGTACCTTGGCATTCCTGCAAAAAGCGCGTGAAGAGTCAAGGGAGAGTTTTGATGGGAACTGGCGGAAGGCTCTATAGATATTCTGGTCTGATCCTTTTGGGACCAGGTGCAATACCATTATTCACAGACGGATGGCGTCGGTGAAGAATGGTAGAACACCTGCTTCTTCATGGGACTTCGTAACGGAGAACTGAGAAACGATCTATGCATCCTGCTCCAAGCGGCATATCTAGCAGGCATTTCGGTTAAAGAGATCAGAGCGCTGTGAAAGGGATCAGAAATGATTTCGTGGATGACTTTCTCCATTGCCCTTAGGATTGTTCTGTTGGACATCGGAGGCCGGTTATCCCTGGTCAGCCTCTGCAAGTTGCACCAGTTTCCTGCTGATCACTCCTTGAGGTCTTCTTTTGTCACTTCTGTATGATTTCCGTAAGCTTGAAGGTCAGCTGGCTAAGTTCGTTGCTGCCTGCAGCTCGTGCGGTTTTCTACGTTGGCTAATCAGCTCAAGAGCTTCCAGAAATAGACGTTTTTTTGAAAACCTTGGGACCTTCTGACTTCTTGGCGCCGTCGTGAAGGTATTCAACAAGCCGTTTGTATTCTCGTTGATGCTGTCGATAACGAAATCCTCTCAAAGCTTGGTGAGGGAGCTTAATTGATCTCAACAGTTGACCGTCTTGAGACTTCGTTTCTTGCGGCTCTCAGTTCTGTCATCGAGAACCTCATTTCTGCGTAGGAGTGGGCGATGATTCAATCTCATGAAGAATTCATTGTTAGGAACAACAGCTGCGTCGTCAGGCAAAACCTCCGATTATGGACTATTGGTCGATCTCGTTGTGGAATTGCCCACCAAGAGACTCTCATGCCCAGCGTAGACTTCTGGAACAGTGAAAGACGGCATGTGTTGGCATGATGAATTTATACGCTTTTTCACCCTGCTCATTTCGGTCTACTTTGTAAGTTCCAATGTAAAGTTCTTCAACCATTCCCCCGGGTCCAGTCTTATCGTTGAGGTCGCCGACGATGATCTTGAAGATGACATACTCCTGTTCCTTGCACGTCTCCAATCCATATGGAATGCTTCGAGCTCATCGACATCGCAACTCGGTGGTGCGTAGGCAACGGAGACTGGGGAAGTTGGAGTTGAACCACATCTATTCAACTCAAACGCTCGATTCGGCCGTCAGGTACGAACGATGCTCATGCCCAAGTGCGTGACACTACACCGCCAAGGCCTCTACTTTCGCACTTTTTAAAGAACAGTTCTTGTCCGGTATTGTAAACGGAGTGTCTCCTCGTCTCGGCCAGTTCGACGACTTGATCCATCTTCAGTGTGAGCCCTCACCATACTAGTCCTGAGCACCTCGTTTCTTCATTGGTGCTGAGATTCTTGCAGCGTTTCCCCGCAATTTCACCCAACTCTGCCCTGCTGCCCTGTTGCTGGTTACCTTGATTCCGAGCAGTTGGGTCCATCCTTTTCGCTATTAACGGCATATACATGAATGAAAAAACGCGTAGCTTGCATGGCTCTATCGTGGTCATTTGACGCTCTGACTGCACGTAAAAAAAGAAGCAAAAGCGCACCTATAGTCAAGCAACTGTGAATAGCTTTCCGGCTTCTTCAAGCTCAAGCCTTCACTTCTGTTCAGACTTCGAAATTCCCCACGAAATAGGGCATAAATCACCCGCTCTTGAATATCCAGTCGACCTTGTTGCGGTCGAAAAGACTCTACAACACATCCACACTGTGTCCTGTGATGTTAAACCGAGCTAACCGGCGAAGCAAAATCAAGGCAGCATGACTCACTGCTCTACTAGTTTACTTTAATCCTCGGGCAATTGACTTTTAAATGAAGCACAACAGCTTCGTTTCATTTTCTAAGTTTCAAAAGCGCAACCACAAATACTAAATGCACACTGTTTCTCATTCAGATCGTAAATGCAAGAAGATACTAATTTGTCGTACTTTCATGGAGCGCTTATGGACCAGGACGCCGACGTAATGCTTCAGGTTGGTACCAAGCGCACGAAGCCAAAAGCTGATGCGTAGAGAGCTCGACTTGCTGGTCCTTATCATCCTTCCAGCCGATTTGGCTACATTTACCCCTGACTAGGTTTCTTTTCACGACATACCATTTTGTGGGCATCCTGCGACGTACCCTCCTTATTTACACGGGAACTTTCCAGAACGATCATGTCACAAACTTGAGTGCTGAAGTGTGAAACATCCTCCTATATATAATCCGCTAAGTTTGTCGTTGTGCGGTCCGTGTTGTGTGAATGTTGTTTTCTGTCGGATGTTGTTTGACCGGTAATTCATTAATCCTGTCAAAACAGCGATATTGCGCTCAAACTGATTAAGAGAAGTGGAGCCTTAGTGCAGGAAGACTACGAGGAGTCTGAAGGAATGATAAGAGCTGATAAAATAACATAAGAGCCTGTAGAAGGGAAGGGACACTAAATATACATAGCGCCTGGCCACAAGCCAATCACGGCGATTGGTTCCAAGAACGTATCTATGACAGGGCAGGAATGGAACATTATTGGGGTGGCCGGTCGTGATGGGGCAGCTTGATAAAAATCACAATAAGGAGCCTATAAAAGGGAGCGGTTACCAAATCCACTAACGTGCGTCATCATGCGACGGAAGGACTTCGGTCCCCAAGAAGTGAATATAAAAGGCAGGATGGGAACGCTGATTGTGGTGATAACAGCTGGAAGCTGATGAGATAGCTCTGAAAAATTCACAGCACAGTTGTAGCAACACTGGGGAACTGCTCCAGCAAGTAATTCAGAGGTGCTTAGGGAACAGGCTTTTGGGAGTCCTATATGCTCACATCACCGTGGCCAAAGAATTAATGGGCAAAGGCTCGGTGAGTCAACATGTTTGTATCCCTTAGCAAAATCGCTGCAGATCAGCGGTGCGGAATCGTTTCCACCCTAAAACGCCTCGAGTTTCACTGGAGAAGGATGTAGAGTGGAGAGGGAGAAACATGATGACATGGGCCGTTCGAAAAACATGGGAATCAGGCTGTGTTAGGGGTCAGCACAGAAATCCTGTCAGTTATCAGTACCATAGGTGTAAGCATGCGCGCAGTATGCGCGTCAGCTAGAACGGTGAGAAATGTGAATTTGCGAAAATTAGGGCTTGTCCTAGAGCACGTGTTTGCAGGAGCGCTCATAGGACGTCCCCAAAAGGGGAACTATGTGTGATGGGTAGCGCTCGCCTGTCAGTAAAGAAAAACTGGCGACCCATCGCCCATAAAAAACGCCTTTGACTCGACCCTCAACCTTTTTCTACACGTAATTCACTCAGAATTCATACAATCAAATCGTAGAATTCCATTGCAGAACGAAGGAGACTTCCTGATTCAGTCACGACATTCAAGCCAGGCGATAAGACAGCGTATGGTGATTGCGATTCGTACTAAAGACTCCATAAAACGTATTGACATTCGACGAAACGAGAACGGAGTTCGGCTAGGAGTACGTAAATTTCAGCATATTCAGATAGAACATAAACAAAATGACTTCTCTTTCACTGAAGGGTAAGCAAAACGTGAGGCCCAAAAAACAATAACCTTGAAAGTATGAGTTGGACTCATTCCGAAGTATGGAAGGCTTCATCACTTTATTATCTGAACCGCTAACTACGCGTGGTAGTTTGCAAGCGTATGAGTATGTCCCACTCCTGTATGAGCGTTTGACGCCGGCGGTTCGCGAACTCTCGGTGCGCCGCCTAATCATTCCAACGCCCAATCGGGCCCACTTTATTCCTCCTGCGCCCCTGACAGGAGATGAGGGCCACCCCTTAGAAACCGTAGGATAATACCGCTTGTTTACCGCCCCAACAACCCAGACGATAACTACCAGGGTAACCAACCCTACCTACATATAGGGAACGTATTACACACGCAATACAATGACAAGATGTATGACGACGCAATACTTACACATTACTAAATAGATATTCACAAAAGGAGTTGTGTTATTATGATAAGTGCCATTTGACGCCACTAATTGCGGAAGTCTGACCCCAGGAAGGACACGAACTCGCACCTCACGCCCTTTCCCATAACTCATCATCTTGTGATAAAATCACAATTGTTGAAGGGGGCAAACGACATCGACTGGTGGAAGGAGGGCTGCCGCTGCGCCAAAACCCAGCCCCCCTGAAGCGCCCAACATTTGCGGCAAACAAGACGAAAGGACTAAGAAAGTGAGAAGTGGTACGAAATGTCCACCAGACACGATGACAGATTAGCTTTTCATCGTACTGGAAAGATAAAGGAAGTCATATACAGGCGGAAAAAACGCTTTTTATCCAATATTGCCTTACGATACTTTGCATAATGTCGTAAATCCATGACAAGCACTGGGAAACAAAGCATTGGAAAAAAGTTATAGATCTTCAGTAAAATAGCAGTAGCACATTTGAGGATTATAGGGCAAAACATTTCCAAATTTAAAGAAGATGGTAGAATATTACTCTAAAGAACCAATAGTATTACAAGGAGGAGAAGAACTATTACTTAAAAAAGCCGTTCCCAAAGGGAAATTCCAACTTGTTCATAGTGATGTGAGACTTCTTAAAAAGGTCAGTGATGAAAAGTTCACGCTATGAAGATGAACCTGCTACAGTATACCACACTGAACGAGTTTAGATTGGCTCCGGTGCCTATGGCACTGTGTATCGTGGACAATTAATTCGCGATAATAACAGAACAATAGCCGTGAAAAGGATCGATTCGGAAGGAACAGACGAACAAGGCACGTTCTCTTTGCGAGCTAACCATGAACACACATGCATCCTTCACCTTGTGCTGCGAATCTGGAGGGTATCCCACCAACATAGTAATATTGAGAACCTGCTTCAAATTTATGCGAGCCTGCGACCAGTGCCACGCCGGGAAGGCTTCCTCCCTCCATCATGTTGTCGATTCTGAGTCATTTTCCGTCGTCAGAAGAAGGGGGAGGGCGTCATATGGCATATGTGAAACGGAACAAACGAGAGAACTGGGCATCAGGAAAATCTTCCCGCGGCGCGAAAAAAGTTTCTTCAGGGCAGATACGCCCTTCATATCAAAGCAACGGGCAAGTTACGACCTTCCCTCATACAATCAAAGGAGTCTCTAGTAAATGCGGGACAGGGGGGCTGTTGAAACAGGTATCAAGGAAATTCTTCATGGCCGAATTACGGATTTTCCCTCCAGCCGACCGAATAGCATCCTTACAAGGATTTCCAGTGGTTACGGACCTTGCCCTGGCGCCAGACGTGAGAAACCGTAGCAGAAGCAGTGGTACAGTAAGCTCCAGCTATGGTTAGACGTGTGGATGGGCCAGTGACCGGCCGAGTGGAGTTGGTCCGAACAGGGACCCAGGTAACGCTACCCTTTACAGCCCTTCCTGCGGCACTTTTAGGCGAAGAAAAGAGACGCAATTTGCAAGAAGCTTGGTATTGCGGATATCAATGCAATTGTTACGTTAAATGAAGAACCTCCATCGGCAATATGTAGTGCTTTATGCCATACGCATCAAGCGAAAGCTTTAACAGCGATATGACAGCAAATTTCTTTTTTCCCCCATCCCTCCCGCCTTCTTTTCCACTACCGCCACACCTTCCCCTCTACGTCAGACTATCATTGGCAGTGATTGGTTTATGCAATGCGCGAGTAACAGATTCAAAATTAGCTGGCACTCAGGCCGATACTAGCGCGGAAGACGAGATCAGCGGTGTCTTAGCCAGTACTTATAGGCGCTTTCGTGCAGACGCTAGCTTTGACGTTACGCCACACCGTTCTTAACCACTAGTTGTCGCGCGCTCATATCAACATTTGGTGGAGAAGGGGTTGGCGCAGATCAGAACAAGCCTGCCTGACAAGCCCCAACAACTGCATCGAAATAACTGTTTTTAAACACGAGCCTATTTCCTACATTTTTCTCTAATCACCGTTTTCTCCTCTCCAGCATTGGCTGAAATGATGAAGGAAGCTCGTGCAATGCAGCTTAACGAACACAAACACATAGTAAAGTGAGAAATTTTTTGAAAACAAATTTTATCTTACAGTCGACACCTTGCTCGAACTTCAGCTATCAGAATATTGAATTTAGAAATCATACACATTGAAGTTCTCTTCAGATTTTACGGATTTATTGTTGACCGTATGCCGTATCTACTGGTGATGGAATATTGCGATGGTGGATCCGTGGAAGACAAACTTCGCGCTTATCCCAAGGTACTTTGCTACTCAGTCGCTCGTTCACATCGCAGATGATTTGTAGGCTGCGCAGCGTACGCTAGCGTTTCCAGCGTTCGGCAGTGGCAAGGAAAGGACAGAGAGCGTAACGCTAGCGCAGCGAGGGCAAGGAAAGTATAGGTATCGATCTAGCGTTTCTAGCGTTTCACTAGCGTTTGCAGCGGCGGGGAGTAGAGACTATGGGAGAGTAGGAGAGTAGAAAACAGTTCGATTAGCGTGCTGTGAAATTGCGGCGTGTAGCCGCACCGCACTACGCTGGCGTACGCTGCCGCAAAGTATGAACGCAGCCTAAGTGCTGTATTCATTTACAGAAGATCACCGTGCCGATGAGGGTCGACATGAGCACTCAAGGCTCCTATGGACTGGAATACTTGCACTCACGAGAGTAAGCAGTGACCTTTTTGACACATGAAAGCTACTTGCCATGAAAAAAAAGAGACCCACTATGATTGCTATTTGCTAGACAAAAGTTCTCAGGGCTGGCAATACGCTCAATAGTCCGACAATCAGCGCAGTTACAGTCTCAGCTACAGTCTTGCTCGCTGCGGATGCTGTTAGGGGCACAGGTTTGGCGCGCAACCCATTCTCCATCAGTTGTGGGAACGGGCAAGTGGTCACAGTTTGTGGAGAAACGGGCTGGCGCAGCGCCAAAACCAGTTCTCCTGGATTAAGTGTTGCTCCACGAGTAGCTATTCCCGATGCCATGAGCCTGAGCTCGTGGAGGACTCAAGCTTTCAGTTAATAAAGAAAGGAGGAAGACCCTTTCAAAAACGGCCTCTTCTCGCCGCAGAGAGCAGGAACACACATAGCATAAATCAGCCTTTACATCATTTCTAATCCCTTCACAATTGGGAATTGTGCGACGAAAGTTGAACTGTGTTCAGTACTGTACATTCCAGTTGTATCCATAGAGATATCGCCACCAGAAACTGCCTCATCGATAAGGGTATTGTGAAGCTCGCCGATTTCGGAATGTGTCGTGCGACGAACGTCTACAAGATCGACCTCTCCAAGCCGCTTAACGTACGATGGCTAGCGCCTGAAGT